GGGCGGTGGCCGGGAGGAGGTGAAGGCGTCTCGTCCGTGTCAGGGCGTCTCGGGACGGGGAACGCGAAGCCGGCGCGGTGTGTTTTGAGACCAGGCCTGTCTGTGGTTCGTTCGGCTGTTACTGATGGGTCCCGGTTTACGGCGCTGGTTGGGGGGATGCTTAACTTCCCCTTACTCTGGACAAGGGTCTTGTGATGTTTTCGGGGAAAGCTGAGGAGTTAGTTCCTTAGGTATCACAGGTTTGTGGCAAATCATGATGTAAAACGTGCTGAATAACTGTTTCTTAACTTATATTAGTCTCGTCTGTTAGTTCTCTCTTCAAATCTATATAATACGTTTTCAAACTGCAGCAAATTCTTGAAGACAGTGTTTCCATAAGAAGCACCAGTAATTGCTGTGTGCTGTCATCTCTGTTGTGTGCTCATGAAATGTTTTACTTTTTAAATTCAGATTATGTGGATAAACCTTTGGAAAAACCTTTAAAGCTGGTGCTTAAAGTCGGAGGAAGTGAAGTGACTGAACTTTCTGGGTCAGGCCATGATTCTAGTTACTATGATGACAGATCAGATCATGAGCGTGAACGACATAAAGAAAAGAAGAAAAAAAAGAAAAAAAAGTCTGAGAAAGTAAAAGAAAAGCATCTAGATGATGAGGAAAGAAGAAAGAGAAAGGTAAGCTGTGATTTTTAGGATTCAGACATACTAGTCTTGTTTGTACTTGCTTATCAGATCTAAAATCTAGTGTAGAGTTTGTTTTGGTTTTGTGTTTTTTTTTTTACTGTTGCCAGAAAATTATTTGGAGACAGCACTTCACAAATGTAGAAAGATCCTTCTGTGTGTGTAGTCTCATTTGAAATACAGCTTTTTAAAGAAATCTACATTGTGTTTTTCTTCCTGAGATATGCTAAGTTATTGGACATTGAAACTGATATGTTTTCTGAACAGCTTTCCAAAAACTGATGTGTTGACTACTCTAGTACAATAGTCTTCTTGAGTCTTATTTAGAATAACCTGCATGGTAGGCTTCATGGCTTTGTTAGTAGCAAATGGTGTGGTCACCTTAATTGTCAGTGCTGAACCTTTAGGAAAATCAGCAAAAAGACATAGATGATACAGTTACTTGCACAGTTTTATTTTAATAATATTTCTTTTGTGTACTGAGGATTCTCTGACCTCTTAGATTTTTAAATTCTTTTCTGTCAAGTATTTTTAGTATCCTCAAAATGACATATTTAGTACTATTTTTTATGTGTGTATAGCTAACATCTGCCATTTCAAATTACTTATTTGTTAGGCTTCTATTACTTGACAGTGATACATGTTGTAGGAGTGTTCAGAAGCTCTTGAATAAAGGGCATATAGTGGAAAACTTATTTTGTAGAAATGTTTTCAAATGTTTCAGTTAAGAATATGTCTCAGACTTGTAATGTAGCAAAACAACTGTCTTTAATGCAAGATCTTACAGCATCAAGTCAATTGTTTTGCCTTTACTTAATTTTGTGTGGATTTTTTTTTAAATTATTTTTTCCAGAACTTTGTTACTAGTACATGCAAAACAATCATAGATTCATGGAATCATAGAATAGTTTGGGCTGGAAGGAACCTTAATAATAATCTAGTTCCAACCCCCTTGCATTGGCAGGGATACCTCCCATGAGACCAGGTTGCACAAAGCCTCATTCAGCTGTCCTTGAACACTTCCAGGTGGGGGCATCCACAGTTTCACTGGGCAACCTGTTCCAGTGTCTCACTGCTCTCATAGTAAAGAATTTCTTCCTAATTTCTATTCCAAATCTACCCTCTTCTTGCTTGAAACCATATCCCCTTGTCCTATCACTACATGCCTTTGTAGAAGGTATGCTCTCCTGAGGTCCAGGGTAGTAGACTTGCTGCACACCCTCCTTATATCCCTGAGGATCCTGAATTCCAGCATTTTGTGGTCACTGCAGCCAAGGCTGCCCTGAAGCTTCACGTTGGCACCAGCTTGTCCTTGTTGGTGAGAACTAAGTCCAACACAGCACGTTTACTCACTGGTTCCTCTACCACTTGGAAAAATAAATTGTCATCATTGCATTCCAGGAACTGCCTGGATTGCTGGTGCCTTGCTGTGTTGCCCTTCCAGCAGATGTTGGAATGGTTGAAATCACCCATGAGGACCAGGACTTGTGACCACTAAGCTGCTCCTGTCTGTCTATAGAGAATCTTATCTGCTCAGTCTTCCTGGTCAGGTGGCATGTAGGAGACCCCCACTGTGGTATCACCTGCCCCTGGCTTCCCTGTAACCCTGATCCACCAGCTCTTGGTCAGTTCCTCATCCGTCCCCTGGCAAAGCTGAATGGACTGCAGGTGATCATTGATGTAGAGGGTGACACTCCCTGCTCTTCTCCTCTACCTGTTCTTCCTGAAGAGCTTGTACAAATCCATTCCCATGCTCCAGTCATAGTCATCCCGCCATGTCCTAGTGATGCCAGTAACATCCCATCCCCATTGTTGCCCAGCCCTGCAGGCATAGTGTCCTATCTGGATCAACTGGGTTAGGGTAAGGTTCAGGCCAGTCCGCCTCAGTAAATACCAGCAAAGTTAACCTCTTAACAGCCCCAGAGGCAAGGTTAACCTCTTCATTCTCTGTGTAGTACTCAGGAGTAATAACAATTACTCAGGAAGTTGAAACAAAACATAACTTTACTTAAAATTTAGTGTGATTATAAATCTTGCCAAAAAACACACAATGATATATTCTCAAACAACAGGTTACAACTAATAAAACTTGGCAAAACTGTATTCTCAAAGTAACAGGCTACAAGTGAATAAAACTTAGCAAAATGAGAAATGATGTTTCTCTTAAGTGCCAAGAATAAGGTTATAAACAGAGAGAGAGATACTAAGAAGAAGGGCATAGAAAAGATAACTCTACCCTTGGATCCAGTGACGATCTTGGTGTTATATTATGGTCCTTGGATAGCAGGCGCGTGCAGCCAAATGTTTTGAGCCTGCTACTTTTATCTGCTACTCAGTGTTGGATTTAGCACAAGTTGTGTGCTGATTGGTTCTTAGTTGCCTAAGAATGCTTCATAATTAAGGAAGGTGGGGGGTGGAAGAGCCGCTGTCCTCTAAAACTGCAAACTGCTCCTGGTTTTGTTGATACAGACTCTGGCTATGAAGTCTTGTCTCACGCCTTGTTAACACAACCTTGGACGATGGAGCTTTTCATTCAGGCAGTCACGCTAATAAAATGTCAGGTCCTGTAGCTGTAGTAGTGAGGCCATAAAACTTCCAAATTTTGTGCTGTGTCTTGGTCAGATAAGCAAGTTGCTCATCCTTCCACTCCTATTCCTTGTCCAGTAAAAACTAAGCACACTAAGTTAGTCTACACTCTTGCAAACAAACTAGTTGGCTTGAATGAAACAAAGAAATTTGTATTGCTGCATCCTGGTTGTGAAGGCAGCTGGTTTGATTCCCTTTTTCATTTCAGGACTCTACACATGCACATGTCTGCAACTCTTCGTGTCTGTTCCACATGCTACATGCATTTGCATAGGGGTCTATAATTTGGGCCCCCATTGAAACTGTCTTACTGGCTGGAATTAGATTTTCATGTTATTTCAGGTGTTCTACTGGCCTGTGATCCTTTCAGGCCAAGGGCATCTCTTACCAACATTGGCCTCAGAGTGTTGGCAGTGGGATAGACTGAGGATCCTCTTCCCCAGCATCTCTAGTTTAAAGCCCTCTTTATTAAATTGGCACAGCTACGGACGAAGATGCTCGCCCTCTTCTCTGACAGGTGGACCTCAGCAGGCCCTAGGAGACTAGATTTCTCAAAGCGAGCCCCATGGTCTAAGTAGCCGAAGCCCTGGCTGTGGCACCACTCCTGTAACCATTTTCCCAATTCAGTTGGCCCTTTCAAGCCTCTTTCCTTTGATCAGGATTGATGAAAAGACTACCTGTGCTCCTGAGTCGTTCACCACCACTCCCAGAACTGTGTAATCCTTGATAGCATTCAGATTGCTCCTGGCTGTATCACTTGTGCCTACATGAAACAGCAGCAGTGGGTAATAGTCAGTGTGATTTACAAGGTTTGGTAGTCTTTCAGTGACATCCTTGATATGAGCATAAGCAGCAGACCTCTCAAGGGAGTCGGTCCAATAGATAAGTAGCAAAACTGTAGGCTAAACAAGTTAATGAAGGTATGCTTTTCTGTGAGTAAAGACTATAAATTTGTAGGAATGACTTAAGTATGCCTTTGCTTTCAATCTCAGAGATTATTTATTGCTACCACTGTTAAAGGGCATGGGTCTTTTGTAGGCTTCCCAAATTATGGCATAGTTTATTGATTCCTGTTTAAAACAAATTGGTCAAAGCAGAGCTTCAGACTGATCTTTACAGAATAGTAAATTAACTTCCTTTACTCTCATGCCATATAAATAGCTTCAGAGTTTAACATTCTTTTCAGTAAAGGTACAGTAACTAAAGATAAAACAATAGTATATTAAATACAAAGAAACAAAAGCTAAACACTATTAATTTTAATTGGAGAAGAAAATTGAAAAAGTGACAGTGAAAATATATGCACTTTTGTTTAAACCATGTTGTGGCTCAGGTATAGATTGAGGATGCCATGCGAAAAATCACTGCCTGTTACCTTTTGTTATGTTGGATTGTGTATTTCAAGTGCATTCTTCTAAAATATGTCTTCTTCCTGCTGTGCTAGGAAGAGAAAAAGAGGAAAAGGGAGAAAGAACAGTGTGACACTGAAGGAGAAACTGATGACTTTGATCCTGGGAAAAAAGTGGAGGTTGAACCTCCTTCAGATCGTCCTGTCAGAGCATGCAGAACTCAGCCAGGTGAGCAGGGTGGAAAATTAAATAATCTTGCATATTTTTAAAAGCATGTACAACAAAGCTTTTGTCAGAGGTCCTAAAACGTAAAATTTACATGAGGATTTGCTGAAATCTAGAGACTTAAATTTTTCTAATATTCAGAACTTTCTGCTGTCTGAAAAAATCAAAATTCCTCTTGGTGCTCCTGGGTTTTAGTAAGTTTTCATGTGACCGAACTTGTGAAGGACATCTGTCTCTGTTTTTTGTTACTTGGCAGAATAAATCTAGTATAAAAGTATTGTGTGTAGTTCTCCCCTAATTCCTTCTCAGCATTTACAGAACAATGCTCAAAGTGTTTCAGATGAAGTTTTGCTCAATTCAAAAGAAACATCTTGTGAAGACTGCTTAGCTATTTTTGAGGTCTTTTTTTATAACCTACGTGGAATTTTAATTTTAGAATCCCTATTTTCAGCAAAAGTATGGCAGTAAGCTGTGATGGAATGTCACTCGAAGAACATAGCCCCCCAGTTTTCATTTACCAGTCTTTAATTTTCATCACCAAACAAAATACTTAACAGTTGTGTGTGTGTTAACTTGTGCATGTTTAATCCCTTGAGATTTTGCCATGCTTTCTCTAGCTGTGGCTACTGCTTGATAGTTAAAACTTAATATTATCTAGTGGAAACTTAAAAGAATTTTCAAATGCATCATGATCTGAGTACACATATGCCTGGTAATGGAACTCAGTAGCAAAAAGTTGGGTCTTTAGGAATATTTTGAGTCTTGCCTTTGGAACACTGCCTGTTGACTTGGCAAGTAATTTATTGAGGAATTTTCTAATTATGAATACAAATCCATTTGAGGGATACTGTCCATCAGCTATCAAGGTGACATAGCAAGGGTAACTGAAATTTTCTGGTCAATGTGTTATGTCGCTGGGTGGTCTGGGGCCTTGAAAAATGAACAAGCTAAAAACTGATGTCTATGTTAACAAGACTTCTCTATTTTCATCTCTTTGGAAAATGTTCAAAAGCACATAAATTATCTTACCTCTTCTGATTAAGAAGGGAAATAGCTCTCCATTATCTTTTTATTAAAAGTTGGGAATTCTAATTCTAGATTTCAGCATGCTGCTTTAGTTTTTCAAATTTCACATTAAAGCCAGTGTCTCTGAAGTATGTGCGTGGAACATGTAATTAAATATAGTGTTTATTTTTAAATTTGTACAGGAAGTGAAATTATAATCAGTACATCTCTTGCCAGCAAATCTGCATCTATTTGTCGCTCTTTCTGACAGAAAAGATTCTGAAAAGCTAATTACATGGGTGTTATCATAACAAAATAATCAAAATTGCATGGATAACATTTTAAGAATGTTGATTTCCCAACTGCAGTATTTGAGCATCAAAATTACACTTTTTCTTTAAAAATATGGAACATTTTCACCTTATGTAATACATTTTTTTACAACTACTAGACTTAGCATTACATCTGATTAAAAGTCTACTCGTTTTTATTATTATTAAAACTCTGCGAGTAGTAAAGGAGAAAAAATAGCTACTGTGTGCTTGGGAATCTGATGTACTTCTACATTGGAATCTATGTCTCATTGACCTTTGGATCTGTACAAGCTGTACTTGTAGTTAAGATTTGTTTGTGTTTATATTTTTAAATAAATATACCTATGTTCTATTCCATTGCACTTACCTGTGTTTCTCTGTCCAACTGCAGCTGAAAATGAGAGCACACCTATCCAGCAATTACTAGAACACTTCCTTCGCCAGCTTCAAAGGTATTAAGCATATTGTATCTATAGCTGTGTCAATAGTGTCTAATGCATATTTGTGTGTTACTTCAGACTTCTTATCCTGGTTTTCTGTTTGAAAATAGTGCCTAAAGGCTGGCTATAATATGTTTGGTGGCCTTTGCAACCATATCAGACCTGGTAGATTTTAAAGATCAGTTGAGGAGAATTATTACCAAGTATGCAAGCCTTGCTTTTGGAAACAAAGTGTTTTGGGCAGAGAATATGTTGCCATTATAAATGTATGAAATATTTATAACTAGTTTAGGAATTAAAAAACAGTTAGCAATGTTAATAGTTTAAAAGATTGAACTGTTCTCATGAAATGAAACTTTGCTTTTTTCTGTGTCAAATACTAAAGCAAGTTTATGCTGCTTACTTGATAATCCTCTTAATTTGGAAAGACTGTATATTTTACCGCCTTCCATAAGATGTTAACCCTGTTATGTTAAATAATAAAAAATACCCAAAAACCAAGCAAAACCAAACAGAACTAGCAAAATATTTTGTTTTACTTTTTTATTACATAGCAATTATATGAATTTGGAACTATACTGGAAAATATTAAATACTGTCGTTATTTTTAGAGGACTTCATGAACAAGAAAAATTGAAGAGGTTATTAATCAGTGAAGCCAAAAGACCCATTTGGAGTATAAATATAGACAGAGAAACTATACAAGAAATAATTAGGTAATTCAAGAACTAGTTGAATCTCTTTCAAAAACTCTAAATATGTCTAATAACACCTGTCGTACAGGACAACCAGGTGATCAGGCCCACTTAACATGGGTTGATGAAAAACAGGTCCTGCTTGACCTAATTCCCTTCTATGTCAGGGAAACCCACTTAGTGGTAAGGGAAAGACAGTGGAATGTGTCTTCCTATTACAGAACAGCAGAATGTTTGGAGTTGGAAGGAACTTTAAAGATCATCACGTTCCAACTCCCCTGCATGGGCAGGGACACCTCCCGCTAGAACAAGCTGCTCAGAGCCCCATCCAACCTGCCCTTGAACACCTCCAGGGATGGAGCCCCCACAGCATCTCTGGGCAGCCTGTTCCAGTGTCTTGCCACCCTTACACTGAAGAACTAGGCTTTAGTAAAACCTTTGATGCCCTTTCCCACATCATTCTCTTGGAGAAACTGGCTTTTTATGGCTTGGATAGGCATACTCTTCCCTGGGTAAAAAACTGGCTGGATGGAGTGGTGAATGTAGTTAAATCTGGCCACAAGTGGTGTTCCCCAGAGTTCAGTGTTGGAGCCAGTTCTTTTTAATTTCCCTATTAGTGATCTGGATTGAGTGCACCCTCAGTAAGTTTGCAGATGACACCATGTTGAGTGGGAATGTTGATCTGCCTGAGGGTAGGAAGGCTCTGTGGAGGGACCTCAACAGGCTGTATGGATGGGCTGAGGGCAATTATATGAGTTTCAGCAAGGCCAAGTGTTGAGTCCTGCACTTGGGTCACAATAAATCCACATAATGCTACAGGCTTGGGCAAGAGCGCCTGGAAAACTGCCCAGAGGAGAAGGACCTGGGGATATTGGTTAACAGCCAGCTGAATATGAGCCAGCAGTGTGGCCAAGAAGGCCAACAGCATCCTGGCTTGTATGAGAAATAGTGTGGCCAGCACCTTGAACACTGTCTTCACTTCTGGGACCATCACTAGAAGAGACATTGAGGTGCTGGAGTGTGTCTAAAAGGTTGCCAGGCACTGGAAAAAACACCATACACCAGTATAGATTAGGGATTGGCCTGCTAGAAAGCAGCCCCCTGGAGAAGGACCTTGGGGTCTTGGTGGACAACAAGTTATTCATGGGACAGCAATGTGCCCTTGTGGCCAAGAGAGCTGGTAGTATCTTGGCATGCATTAAGAACAATGTGGCCAGCAGGTCAAGGAAGGTTCTCCTCCCCCTCTACTCTGCCCTCGTAAGACCACATCTGGAGTATTGTGTCCAGTTGTGGACTCCCCAGTTCAAGAGGAACAGGGATATGCAGGAAAGAGTCCAACAGAGGGCTATGAGAATGATTAAGGGACTGGAACATCTGTCATACGAAGAAAGGCTAAGAGACCTGGGGCTGTTTAGTCTTGAGAAGACTAAGAGGGGACCTTATTAGTGTCTATAAATATCTGAAGGGTGGATGTCAAGAATGTGCCAATCTCTTTTCAGTGGTGCCCTGTGATAGGTCACGGGGAAATGGATGCAAACCATAACACAGGAAGTTCCACCTCCACATGAGAAAGAACTTCTTTACTGTGAGGGTGATGGAGCACTGGAACAGGCTGCCCAGAAAGGTTGTGGCGTCTCCTTCTCTGGACACTTTCAAGACCCTTCTGGATGTGTTCCTGAGTGATCTGTCTTAGTGATCCTGCTGCAGCAGGGGGTTGGACTGGATATCTTAAGAGATCCTGTCTAACCCCTATGATTCTATGAACAGGCTGCCCAAGGAAGTGGTTGAGTTGCTACTGCCGCAGGTGTTTAAAAGGCGTGTAATACGGTGCTTCAGAACATGGTTTAGTGGTAGACTTGGAAGTTCTATGTTGATAGTTGGACTTGATGATCTTAACAAGTCTTTTCCAATCAAAACAATTCTACTATTCTATCAGGACATTTTTTTAATGCTCTTTTGTTTTATGAGAGTACTTTTAGTGTTTTTGCTTTTTAAGTAGTACTATTCTTTTTATACCATTAATGTGGTATAAAAACAAATATAATTTTGTTTGCTGATACAAATCTAAATGTATTGTTTTTATTTTTAGGAAAGATCCTCATGGTTTTTTTGCGTCTCCAGTCACGGATTCCATTGCTCCTGGATATTCCATGATAATAAAACATCCCATGGATTTTGGTACTATGAAGGACAAAATTGCAAAAAATGAATACAAATCAGTCACTGAATTCAAGGTGAATTGTTAGTGATATAGTTATTTCAGAACTCTTGAAGATTCTTTTTAACTGTAGAAGCCTTTCTTACATTAATTACTTTAACGTGTATTTTTTCAGACCTGAGCTTCTTTGTGTATTTTGTGTGTTAGAATGGGTTTCTTGCTTTGTTTTTTCACTTTGGAAGTTCTTTATTTGTCAGATTCTACTAGTCTACTACAAATTACTGTGGAAACCAAGAACATTTCTGCAGTTCTATGGAATTCATGCTGCTAGACATAATCACATGGAGTAAGAATATTGTTAGGACTTAAGCAGTCTGGACCTGGAGCTCCTTTTTGTTATGTTTTGTCTTTCTAACCTAGACCTGGTTAGATTGATTAAAAAAAATATTTGACACGTCTGCAAGAAAACGTTGGGTATACTGAAGCATGGGTAGTTGAGCTAGATCACCTTTAAAGGTCCCTTCCAACCCAAACTATTCTACAGTTCTATAATTTTTGTGTAAAAGTCCATGGCAACTACGTATTTTTATATCTTCCATTATCCTGTTTTCCATATAAACTCATTTGGAATGATCTTTTGGCAGAAACTTACTTGGCAGGTTTATTGGCAACTTGCCTTACCTATTTTGTGTTTTGCTTTTGCTGTAATGCTTTATTGGATGCATTGTGGTTTTACACACAGTGGAGTAAGAAATCTTTTCATGGTATTGCTAGCTCCTTGAAGGAAAGGAGTTTTGTTTAACTGTTTCATGAAGTTCTATTAGCTGCCCTCAGTATTACTGTGTTCTAGAGTGGTGTTGGTACAACAGTAGACTTGACAGAGAGCATTGCCTTGATTCTTGGGGTGTATTTCTCCTTTTGAAAGTTTAAAATAGAACAGCTTATATTTCCTATTGGTGTTTTGACAAAGATTATTCTGTTTTGTTATTTATACTTTATTTTTCAAAATCTGTATAATACTTGTTGGAAATAGTAAAGAATTATTCATAATAGCGGTGCAGTCAGCAGTGTATTCAAGTCTCTAGAGTCTTTCAGCTTGCTGGGTTGGCCTACTCAGCAACTTAAAAAGGAAGCTTGAATAGGAGCTCATGGCTCTATTTAGTTACAGGCAAGATGAGATATCAACCTAAGAAAGTGAACACTACACTATTGTTTAGACTGACAGATTATTTTTTTTCCTGAAGGACTTGTTTTTTCTGCTCATAATGTGACAAGCAATAAATGGTTGCTAGAAGTCTATCCATCTTACTGTGATGAAGAAGTTGGAATCCCCTTCTAGATATGAGTGTACCTAATTATGTTTTTTTTGTGTAATACAGAAAAGAAGTTTGAGGGTTTTAGCTTCTAAAATAAGACGTTTTTAAAGGGTTATCTTTCCTTTCTGATATAGTTTGCAGCTAGCTGAGGCTAGTCACAAGCCAGTAATTTTAGAGTAGAAGCCACATGAACTATTCAGTGCATTTAGAAGAGAGGAAATTGCTGCAGAAAACTCATCAGTTTTGCTGCTGAAAAAGGGTCTGCTTCAAAGTTGAGTGAGCAAAAGACTCTTTTCTGCGTTTTTCGGCAGCACTTCAAGGCCATCACTAGATGTATAGCTCATGTGGGCTTCTTTATTTGCTTCTTGAATCATAATTTGCTCCTCCATGTCACCTTCTCAGTTTCTGTTATTGTTAAGCAGAGGTAGACAGCTTTAATGCCATAGAAAGTCACAGACTACCAATTAAAAATCTGTTCACCTACTTGATTTGGATGGGCTTCATGACAACTACTAAATGATTAGGAGAGCACTTCTCTGATGTCCTTGGATAGAAACAGGAAATTAAACAATTTTTTTCTTTTTTACAGAATCTGATCAAGATTGCAGTAGGGCAGGGTTACTTTTTGTAGATGTTGGGTGCCAGAGAAAGCCTTTAGACAACTGCAATAGCAACCTTCAAAAAATCTGTCTCAGCAAATTTATTCACTTGTTGATAAACTCAATGGTTAACTTTTCAAAAAGTGTACCATTTTGTTTGCATACACTTTTGCACATAATCAGGTCATCATCAAATATAGTGGACTCATACACAAAAAATATTTGCATTTGTGTCTACAGAATACATGGAACTTAATTGCTTGAAAAATGGTTTAAATATTGAAGTGCTATTAAAAGAGAGAAATACATTCTTAAACAGATGCCAATTTAGTTTGCTAAAATCCATTTTGTGAAGTGCCTGGAGAGATTACTGCATGATTCTTGGATACTGATTTGCCAACTTGATGAATTTTCAGAGACATACAAAAATGTTTTTTTAATTGAGTGTCTTGTATAGCTTGTAGTAATGCTTTCTGTGCTTTACTCAAGAGATTAGTAGCGTGTGACTTGAAAAAGGCAGCCTAGAAAAAGCTTTTGCAGTGTGTAACAATTTTTTTTTTTGTTCTGTTTACAGTGCAGTGTATTGCACCTTTCTTTTGGGAACTTGCATCAGTAAAAATTATTTTAAATTATGTATGACAGATAACCATTAAAAGGAGAAGACAAAATCTGGCTTTGTTGTTCTTTCATTGCATGTGATGAGCATCTAGAAGGCTGTTTCTTCTGCTTTGGAGCTTTCTTCTTTTTTTTTTTGTTGTTGTGTGTTTTGGTTTGATTTGTTTTCTTTAGTGAAAGAAGTGGTCAGAGTACTAGAATTAAAATTATATGTAAGATACTTAGTATTTTTCTGATGTCACTGTATTTCTTAAGTCTACTGTGATTTAGAAGGTAGGAAAAACACCAAAAAGTATCTCCTTTGTGTCTCAGTCCTTCTGTTCATTTTTCCATTTCTTCTGTTTGCTCTGTTTGCATAAGGAGAAAATACTACATTTGGCATTCATGGAAAATCTTTTATTTAAAAACAAAAAAGCCTGTTCCAAACAGAACTAAGAATCTTGAAGAAGCAAAAAAGATTGAAACCTTTACAATTCTGTGTTACCTTCTGACTTGTGTTTATTCTGTGAGCCTGCTGCTAAAATACTATTGGGTTCTTCACAGAGCTGCCATGATGGAATGGTGTCCTCCAGTCACTTAACAAAAGAGTTCAACATTTTGACAGTTCGTTTGTTTTGTATTTCACAGGCAGATTTTAAACTGATGTGTGATAATGCAATGACTTACAACAGACCAGATACGGTTTACTACAAGCTAGCCAAGAAGATACTGCACACAGGCTTTAAGATGATGAGCAAAGTAAGAGACCTGTTAAAAAGTAGAAACTCTTCGGGTTTTTATTTTGTCATACTTAAACCAAACATAATTAATAACAGTGATAAATACTATTTCATCCATCTGTGATTAATCATGGCAGTGCTTGTTGGTACTGCTATATTTCAGGGCTTGATGGCGTTCTTACTATAACTACAAGGTTACTTCTTAACCTCATCTGTACCACTGAAGCCCATAGAAGCTTCTTCCACTGGCTTCAGTGGAAACACTTAAGATCCATGTATGTAAAACCTAACTGTAAAACATTGCTTCTGAGTGAAACTTTGAAAACAAAATCTTGTCTAAGCTTTATTTCTGCATAAACAAGAAAGCTTTTGTTTTTTTTAAGGTGGTGGGTATAGCAGAGGTTTTGGGAGTTTCACAAGTGTGTGCATGCAAATACGCTTCTTACTCAAGTACAGTTGTCAGCTTCTAAAATTAAGTTACTTTGATGAGCTGCTCTGTGTGTGTGTGCACGCATGTGTGGAAGTTATGGTAAACTTTGTGTAAAATAGGCAGTTATATCTGCATATGCAGTTTTGTTTGTTTGTTTCTCTCTCGATAGTTGGGCTGCAGAAATTCTGATGCCATGCTACCATGACCAAATCATGTTGCATCACCATTGGAAACGAGGCATTATGAACAAAATAAGGCCATGGCCATTCCCATCCCATCCCATTATCATAGCATCTTGGCTATGAGGGAAAGGTTAAGTCCCTGCCGCTCTGTCCTTTCTGATTCTAGGAACGGCTGTTAGCTTTGAAGCGCAGCATGTCGTTTATGCAGGACATGGATTTTTCTCAGCAGGCAGCTCTTTTGGGTGATGAAGATACAGCAGTTGAGGAGCCTGTCCCTGAAGTTGTTCCTGTACAAGCAGACACTACCAAGAAATCCAAAAAGCAAAGTAAAGAAGTTATTAGGTAAAGGTTTTAATGAGCATGCTTATTGGTTTGTTGCAGCTTTTGTAATACTAGCCAGCACAAATAATTAAGGGGAAAAACCCCCTCCTTTTAGTGTTTCTTCTTGTGGTTTCTAGGTTTAATGGACAATTTTGTTGTATTTTACTTATTTATTTATAAAACTAGTATAATAACCCAGTGATTCACAACTTGAAACAAACAGTTCAAAGAAAGACTGCATACTCTTAAACACAGTTAATTTATTTGTAGATATTTTTATCCTCTTCTCATGATGGCTTGAAATGCTTTTTCATTTTTAACATAGCCACAATTATATTTTGCATTTTCTTCTTTTTTGTTCCCCTAAAATGATTGTATCAAAATCTAAACAGGATCTTTCTGGGAGGGAAAAGTGGCACCAGATCAGTAAATAATTTTATTTAATTTTAGTCTTGTCTGGCAGTATGTAGAGGTACAGGAGATTATTTCTGGAGAAGTAGCTGGTAACAGGAGAGTAGCTGGTAACATTTTCCAAGTAGCTGGCAACATTTTCCCAATGAAACCTTATTAAGGTTCTTTGTAGAATACATTATTAGTGCAATAGCTGTCTTCCAATTAATAGGCACCCCTGTGTCACAGAGTTTTATTTTCTGTTTTATGAGGAAATTTCAGCAGAAACTGATTTACAAGCAAATTATCTTGTTCAGTGTTTTTGCATAGACATACTAGGCGGGATTGAATTTAAAGAGCATTATATCAACTGGAATTTTATTAAAATAAAACTGTAATAGATCACTGCTAGTCATGTCTTAAACAATCTGATCATATAGATATGTTTTGTAGGCTTCTTTCTTAAACATACTAAGTAAAAAAAAAAGTGAAATGTGACTTATTTCAGGTTCATGCTATGTCATTTTTGCTAAAATTGAACTTAGAAGTTCTAAGCCACAGTTTTGGTTACACTTCAAGCACTTTTTTAATCCTTCTTAATGTCTGGTGGAAGAAGTAGGAGTATTTTCATGTAATTTTTTGTGGATATAGGAGACTGCAACAGGTATCTTAAAAAATAATTTATAACTGAGTAATTTATTTGGCTGGAAGTATTCTAGTGTCAACATACAGAAACATCTGTTGCTGTGTCTTAGAGAATTATCAAAATGTAGTTTGTTCTTTAAGGGATTGTGTATTGCCTTTCTGTAAACAGGACTAATACAATCATCAGTCAGAAGAAGGAAGGGTGACATTAGGCTGTAGCTTCAATCGTGCGTTCACATGCAAGGTGCTGTGAGTTGCTGCAGTGGTAGCAGTTGACTTCACTGGTCTTGCTGCAGTTGATGGCTACATGGCCAGTCTCACCACACCTATAGCATTTCACCACCTTTAAGGAGGTGATTTGGCTTTTGTTTGTATGGGTTTTTTAAAAGATTTTAATGTTTGTATGGTGCCAAAATAATGTATTTTCTCTTATTACATAAGTTCCATTGTAGGAGTAACTTTATAGTTTGCCACTTTTTGTGTGCTCATCTTCAAGTACATATAGATAAACAGAAGAAGAAATTGATATTGCCGAGTAATACAGTCTGTCTTTAATACATACAGAAACATGAAATTCAGATAGTTAAAAAAAAAATTCACCTTTAACTTTATCCCGATACCAGTTTCCTTGTAATCAGTTGTAGTATAAATTTAATTTCCTATTCTTTTTAATGTTTATGTAACTTTAGTAGTTGAAATTATTTAATTTTTTTCTGCTTAACTTGAATTTTTAAACACTTGTATTTTTACATCAGTAGTCTAGATTATATTCTTTTTGACATAAGAGCTTTGAGGGGAGAATCAAACCTAATAGCAGATTTTTTTTGCCTTCGTATTTCCGTTAAAAACAGACAAACAGCTGAAATCAACGTTTGTTAGGTGTTAGAGTAGTTTAGACCTCTATACTATAGTTTCAAATGTGAATGGATCACTTGGACGTCCTAATACTTAAGTAGTTTTTTAAAATCTTGTCAAGGATATTGCAACCTTCTGAACATTCTCTCAAAATTCTTGTCCACTAAGTATTCTGTAGAGTGTAATAGAAAGTGCCAGTAGTTGAGAATTTTACTGCTGTGTGTACACTTTCTTGAATTTTCAGTGAAACAGAAATCATATTACACATTTGTCTCGTAATAGTATGATCCTGTGATCTTTTTATTGTCTTTAATAGCAAAACTTTCTTGTGTATCATATCTGAATCTATACAGAGAGAAATTCTTAGATAAGCAAATGGAAGAAGATATTTCAGGAGAGATAAATGGATTTGGTGTGAGGAGATCCTCTACCCAGTACCTAAGGTGTTTATCCTTGGCGTCTGGTGTCCATTTAATGCTCTGAGACATTTTGATATACAAAGTTTATTTTAAATATATAGTATAATGAAGACTGCCATAGCCAGCCTCCTGATATCTTCACACATCCCTTTATAATGCTACTTTTCTCTGAATTTATCTTAGCTATGTCCTGTTCAATTTCAGTATCCTTATTTGTGACTTTTTATTGATTTGGCGGTTTAATGGAAAGGGATATACTGAAAGATAAGCATTATATTCTGTAATTTCAATGAGAAGGAATGGTGTGATTGATACTGATTAGCAATTCTAACTGCCAATATTAACAAACATAGGAATTAAAGGACTCCCTGTTAGACTAGGAGCAGTACCCTAAAAGCAACTAAATTACATAAGGCTCATAAATGCAGCCTGTTGTGTTTTGTGGTTTTTTTTCTCAGATTAGAATTACAGAGTCTGCATTCCCTCACATGTAATTTCTTTTCTGCACCTATTTGGAATTTGTGAAAATAGCATATTTGTGCATGCAGGGGGATGCACACAGCATTCACCTTGTACTGCTGCGGTTTTACTCCCAGTCTCTATTTTGTAATACCTCCTTTATTTTAATCAAGGTACAGAAACAATTACGTTTTTGAAGTTCAGTAGTTCGGTAGTTCTCAGCTTCTGCTGCAAAACTTCAGTTTCATGATATTATTATAATTCCAATTCAGTGCTGAAGGAGACTGACACTGGGAGAGGAATGGGACTCATTGTTCCATTTAGCACACCTATAATTCAGCCCTTTGTTTTGTTTTCGCTTTTAATTTCTACAGCTACTCTTCTCTTTCTTAGTTGCATATTTGAACCAGAGGGAAATGCATGCAGCCTGACAGATAGCACTGCTGAAGAACATGTCCTGGCACTAGTGGAACATGCAGCAGATGAAGCTCGGGATAGGATCAATCGCTACCTACCCAACAGCAAGGTCTAATGCACAACAAAGTTCACAATTCCATTTTGTATCTGAGTATTGAATGCTTTGTTTCATCCTAGGAAACAGGCTGTTACCTGATACAGTAACATGTTGGATGTATGCTCAGTATCGTGTACCAATATGACTATTGATTATTGTTTAATTCCCATGGAAGCCCATTGTGGGGTGTCGTCAGTGGGTCTCAAGTTATATTGTGTGTTGGACATCTTTAGAAATTCTCTTGCAGGAAACAGTGAAATGTTACTTAGCCTTGAATATGGCTTCCTTAACTGTAGCCCTTAGCATTGAAAGTGATGAAAATACCATCACACTCTTCTTACTTACCAGAAAAAGCAAACTTAGGCATGGATTATTAGGAATTCTGCCTCCAACCTAAGGGATTCAGGAATTTCCAAGTGTTAAATTACTGTTTTCAATGAGAAGTCCAGAGCCTCTTGTAGTTTTGTACCTACAAGTAGTAGCTCTCAGCTATAGCACATTCTTGTGTGACTACAAAATGTGCATCCTTTAGCGACTAGGAAAAGATAGCAATATTTTGTCCATGTTGGAATTTTGGACAATGCTATCCAAAGGTTTGATCATCTTTAACATTCTTCTGACAGTTCTATATATTTGTTTTTTGTGTTGTTCCAAGAGCTAGAAGGAGAAGCTCTTAGTTCAGTTTTCTCAACACACTATTTATGGGCTGTGTGTTTCTTATCTATATGGTGGATTCTTTCATTACTTCATGCGAGGGTTGGAGTGAATGCTACGGGCATTAGCTATGTTGAGAAACATTTACTCTGTTTCTCTTGTATCGTGAGGAGTCTCATTACCACCATTTTACTTTGTCCTAATTTCTCATTTTGTCACATATTCTAGTGACCACTGCAATCGAAAAATAATCAGGATATTTCTACATCCTGCATTTTCCACCTGTTTTTTAACAACTGTTGCAGAAGAAGCATTTGTTTTGAATCATTAGTGGCAGCAGCTTTGTGTTGAAACTTAGAAGTCTATTTCTTGGACAATGGCCCTTGTTATGCAGTCACCTTAAGCTCAACTGGATTAGGAAGTAAAGCTTCAAAGAACTGTGGTAGAAGACTTACATTCTTTATTATATTTCTGTTTTGTAGGATAATTAGGAGACTTGCTAAGATTGAAGGCTATTTGAAACCTCCAAAGTAAGACTGGCTTTTAAAAAACCCTTTAAAACCATACCAATCTCTGCTAATTGCTAGTTTTACTGAAAAGGCCTGCATCATGTTGATGCTGTCAATTGTCAAGTAATGCAGTGGTCAAGAAATGACTGTTCTAGGTGTGCAGCTCTTAATAGTCTAGGCTTTTAGTCAGCTATACAGCCCACTGCAGATCCCACTGAATCTAGGCGATGATGACATAATCTTAGAGTTCAGCTATTGGTAAAATAGAGGAAAGATGTAGTGTTCAATTTACCTGGAAGTCTTTACTGATATTTTTTTAGGGACAGCGTAATTTAATTTTTCTTCTTTACTGAGAAGTTAGCCTTTTTTTCACGATTCATGTTTAGTCAGTTCTGACATCAGCTTACTTTGTTGCTTCGGTTCTAGGTCTATCTTTACAGACCCCAGTGTGTTCCATTGTCTTTCACATCTCTGGCTGTCTTTTTAGCATTGTATTTGTGTGCTCTGGTAGGTTGGTCACAGCACTTCTTCCTCTTTAATAATTTGATAGTGTGTTCATAAAAGTACTTCTAATTAGAGCAAGTTTTGAGTGAGATGCAAAAATAAGCAGTTCAGTCTCAATTTGAAAATAAACAGTGAGGTAGATTGTGGATAGGAGCTACAGTTCTGCTTCTAAAAAGAAATTGTATTCTAGGCTTGACAGACAGCTTGTCTCCATACTAATTATAATGGAATTGATTTTGTCTTGGATCCAAATTTTAGGACTGATTTAGGAAAATGAGTAAGAAGTTTTATATATGACATACAAGCATTTACTCCTAAGTCTTCTGTTCTGAAGCATTTGCTAGGCAGTGATACATATTTGTGACTGAAGATTCCCTCTGCATTTTGTAGTTTCTGTGCAAGTAAGCAGCTCCTTTGAGTTTGAATGATTTTGATTACTGCTTCTATATCTCTGTGGTTCTATTTACAGATTGGTTATCTGAAAAAAAATGGAGATGGAACTTTATTATTTAGTGTAGTAAATTCATCTGATCCAGAAGCAGAAGGTAAATGCCATCATCTTTCAAGCGAACATTTCTAATGTTGATTGTTGTAGCAGATATTGAATACTTAACTGTACATATAGATCTTGAGGTATAGATGAGGGGCTTTTATTAAAAAAAAATTCCCTCAACCATTTTCCCTAACAGCTGTATTTAGCATTTCAAATATAAGATGTTTCTTTGCCTTTCAGATTTTCACTCTTCAAATTCTCAGTTTTACTGATGCTAACAGGTAGAAGATAAAATAATACCTGTTTATAAGTACTCATACATTGCTACAACTTTATAGAGAACTTGAAAAGCAGGCTTTCGTTTTGAGTACCCTGTAGTGTTAAAATCTAATAGTGATTGAAAGTCCTGTAATCCTGTGTAAATTTGCACAGATGCACATATAGAATCATAACTTTTTTTTTTTAAATCTCCTAATGTGAATTATTAACTAAATTTCAGTTTTAAGGTAATTAGGTTTTGCTTAACTGTTTTTCTTTATTTCCTTGGTCTCCTTTGGGGTTTCGTTTGCATCACTGCTATACATTATCTATATTATTTTAGGCTTTCCACCTGCTTTAGTTTCAAGTTCTATGTGCAGGAATTTTGAAAGTTTGTAATGAGTGAAATGTCATAGTCTTTATGCTGCTATATGTCATGTTGATTTACCACTTTTTTTTTTCTCTGCACCTTTTGATATTGGAATTTATTCACAGCTTGCCTGTTGTTGCATTGATGAATGCATGAACCTTTTCATTAGTTACGTTTAGGTTCATTTTTTCATTGGGAGGTACAACCCTGTAACTCTTACTGCCTAAATTCCTTTCTGTTTGTTAGGAATTTTTACTGCAATGAAATTGAGCATTTGGCTGCCATCTGACGTCCTTAATTTGTGGAAAAAAATTAAAATAATGTGATTTAATACCTCAAATCATACCACTGAAAATACAGGACAGTGATGGTAATGGAAGCTGAGCAACCTTCCTGTGTGCTGTAAATTACTATACTGTTTCCTGATGTATCTGTGCTTCAGAATCTTTTTTGATTATTCGAATAGTTAACACTAGTTACATTGATATTACAGCTAATACTATAATCTGAATTTTTGTTGTAGTTTGTTTTGGATTTTTTTCTATACTAGTAAGGTTCCAGGGATAAACTTGATTTCTGTTGTTCAGTAATAATGAATAATTACCATTAGGTTGCATAACATCCAGAGAGGCTGAAAATAAGTGGAAATGTCCTAGATATTTTTGGGATTTTTTTGAGTTTAAAAGCATATTCCAAATTTCTTAGCTATTTTAATTATGCAGTTCTCAGATTGCAGCTGGACACAATGTAAATTTTTCACCATGAGGCCGGTCTCCCAAGTGAAGTGGTAGATTCCCCCACATTGGACAGTTTTAATTCTCAGCTTGGTAGGGTGCTGAGCCATGTCATGTAAACTATAGTAGCACCTGGAAAGGTTGGACCAGGTGATTCTTGAGATCCCTTCCAACTTGGCATCCTATGATTGCTATAGCTGTAATGGTAATTTTCTTAACAAGATTTTTTATGTGGTGTCTGGATTTCTATTGATAAACTACCACTTAGTCAACACAAGAAATTGATTTTATCACTTCATAAAATCTGGACCGTGAATGTTTATGAATCAGCTAATAAAACTTTTTCAGGTGCTGCTTTATACTTTGAAAGTGAAATGACTAGGCTGTAAATCTTGTGAGTAAAAGATGGAAACATATATCCAGCATGTATTTGAAATTTGAATTGACAACTTGAATTACACTACATATGCTTAATAAAAATGTACAGACTAAAAGATGTTTAGCCTTTATGGTTACTGCAACTTTTAAAAATAGCAGAATCTAAATACTCACCATAGATACATTTTAAACCTTAAATACTTTTCCAAAAGTTATTATCTTCTTTTTTTTCAAATTATTAGAGGAAGAAACTCACCCAGTGGATCTGAGTTCCCTGTCAAGCAAATTATTACCTGGCTTCACTACACTTGGCTTTAAAGATGAACGAAAAAATAAAGGTAAATGCCAAAGAATGTGTTTTAACTTTGTGTTAAGTGTTTGAGCAATTTCTTCATATAGAATAATTTCAGATTATACCTGACTCCAAATGAAAGTTCAGGTCGTTATTTGTATAATATGTAATTATTCCATTTACAGCAAATGCAATTTAAATTAAAATGACAACTTTACTTGTTAAACATGACTTAATTAGAAGTTTATGCCTTAATATTTTGCCTTAGTCTTGTAGCCACACTAGAAGCTTTCCAGTAATGGTACTTCATTTTCTCTGGAGGTAATAATTTTTCCTGAGCAGCTGTGCTTAGAGTTGAGAAAAAAAACCCCACACTTTTGGTCAATTGCATGTCTGTATTATATGAGAAGGATTTCACAAACTGTGGGGTTTTTTTCTAATATTATTGAAATTTTTAATAGATTATAAACTGGTCTCCAGAAACTGACTGGCAAAAACCACTGAAATAGACTCATGCAAAAAGCAGAAATATAAAAGAGGTGGGGGGGTTAATAGTTCTTTTTTTGTAGTGGGGTAGTTAACTTAGTTCTTTATTTTCCAGTAGTATAACTATGTTTTGTTATAGGGTTGAAGTAATTGTGCTGATCGTAGAGTCTGGAAATGCCCCTGAAACACAGATGTTGATTTCAGTTGGAGGAAAAAATATACTGTACTATATGTATCTGTTTCAGAAAACAGTCTTTTTTTCCTACCCTTTTTCCCCCATCCCCCTGCCAGTGAGCTTTTACATGTGTTCATCGTTTGTCTCTTTATTCTACCTGTCTAGTAACCTTTCTTACAAGTGCTAGTACAGCACCTTCCATACAAAACAACTCCATATTTCATGATTTGAAATCAGATGAAATGGAACTCCTGTACTCAGCATATGGTGATGAAACTGGGATACAGTGTGCCTTAAGGTAAGCACTTCCTTATTAGGAACCCTAACATTCACAGCATTTTTATAAAGAGCAAGATGGATTCAATGTCAACTAGGGGCTTGCAATTCCTGGTTTGTTTTTTTTTCTAAACTTACTTTTTAAATAGCTCACTATAAAACTTGAAGCTATCTTTCATCCTGGTTGGTGGGCAATTTTTTGGTTTTGGGTTTGTTGGATTTTTTTTGAAAGGCTGTTACAGATCTTATTATTAGGGTCTTTGGCCTCAGAATATTGGAGATTGCTAAAGATACAGCATTCTTCTTTGAACTCAGCAGTAAGTAGCTTTAGATATGCAGTAATAGAATTCAGTGACTTTAAAACATTGATGTTTTTTAATAATCCCATATCATAGAATCATAGAATGGTTTGGGTTGGAAGGGATCATAAAAAATCATCTAGCTCCAATGTCCCTGTGTGGGCAGGGACACTTTCCATTAGACCAGGTTGCTCAAAGTCCTCTCCAGCCCATTCTTGAACGCTTTCAGTGACGGGGCATCCACAGCTTCTCTGGGCAACCTGTTCCAGTGTTTCCCTGATCTCACACTAAATAGTTTCTTCTTAATATCTAAATATACCTTTGTTAACCTTAAAACTGTTGACCCTTGTCCTATTGCAAGTGATCCATCTGTCGAATCTGTATCTTTCCAATTTAGAGACCAGGATGTTGTGCAGGACAGTGTTAAATGTACAAGTCCAGGTGGTTATGTCAGTTGCTCTCCCCTTGTCCACCAATGCTGTAACCCCCTTATAGAAGGCCAATAACATTGTCAGGCACAATTTGCCCCTGGTGAACCCATGCTGCTTGACACCAACCGCCTCCGCATTTTCCATGTGCCTTAGGAGAGCATTCAGGAGGATCTGCTCCATGATCTTGCTGGACACAGAGGTGGGACTGACTGGCATGTAGTTTCCCAGGTCTTCCTTTTTTCCGTTTTTGAAAATGGGGGTTATGTTTCCCCTTTTCCAGTCAGTGGGAACTTCACCAGACTGCAGCAACTTTCAAATGTGATGGAAAGCAGCTTTGCAACTTCATCAGCCAGTTCCCCAGGAACCACGGATGCATCTTGTCATGGACTTGTGTACCTTCAGGTTCTTTGTTTGGTCTTGAACCTGCTCTTCTCCTACAGTGGGCAATCTTCCTTCTCCCAGTCCCTGCATTTGCCTTCTGCAAACTGAGTGGTGTGACCAGAGCCCTTGCTGGTGAAGACTGAGGCAAAAAAGTCATTGAGTACCTGCCTTCTCCAGATTTCTCATTACCAGGTCTCCTGTTTCCTTATGGAGAGAGCCCATGTTATGCCTCGTCTTCCTTTTATCACTGATGTACCTGTAGAAGCTTTTCTTCTTGCCCTTGATGTCACTGGCCAGATTTAATTCTATCTGGGCTTTAGCTTTCCTAACCTGATCCCTGACTGCTTGGATAGCTTATTTCTTTGTACTCCTCCCAGGCTATCTGTCCTTGCTTCCACTGTCTGTGGAATCTTTTTACATCTAAGTGTGTCCAGGAGTTCCTTGTTCATCCATGCAGGACTCGTGGCATTCTTGTCTGCCTTCCTCTTTGATGGGATGTATTGCTCCTGCACTTGGAGGAGATTATTCTTGAATATTGACAAGCTTCCTTGGGCTCCTCTCTTTTCCAGGGCTTTATCCCATGGTACCCAACGAAGCAGATCCCTGAAGAGGTCAAAGTCTGCTCTCCTGAAGTCCAGTGAGTGAAGGATAGTGAATGTGCTTCTTACCCACTCTGTTACCCTAAGAGTCCTGAATTACACCTTTTGGGGGTCACTGCAGCCACGGCTGCCCTGAAGCTTCGTGTTGTCCACCAGTCTGTCCTTGTTGGTGACAACTAAGTCCAACACAGCACATTTACTCACTGGTTCCTCTACCACTTGGAAAAGGAAATTGTCACCATTCCAGGAACCGCCTGGATTGCTGGTGCCTTGCTGTGTTGCCCCTCCAGCAGATGTTGGAATGATTGAAATCACCCATGAGGACCAGGACTTGTGACCACCAAGCTGCTCCTGTCTGTCTATAGAGAGCCTTATCTGCTCAGTCTTCCTGGTCAGGTGGCATGTAGGAGACCCCCACTGTGGTATCACCTGCCCCTGGCTTCCCTGTAACCCTGATCCACCAGCTCTTGGTCAGTTCCTCATCTGTCCCCTGGCAAAGCTGAATGGACTGCAGGTGATCATTGATGTAGAGGGTGACACTCCCTGCTCTTCTCCTCTACCTGTTCTTCCTGAAGAGCTTGTACAAATCCATTCCCATGTTCCAGTCATAGAGTCATCCCACCACATCTCAGTGATGCTAGTAACATTGCAGCTCTGCAGGCCTGCACACGTCTCTAACTCCTCATGTTTGTTCCCCATGCCATGTGCATTTATGTAGAGGTATTTAAGTTCAAAACAAAATTTCATCTACATCCAACGTTGTAAAGAAAGACATTAGGAATTTCTATAAAAGAAATTAAAGGTAAAAGATATTTAGGAAACAAAGAAAGTTACACTTATTTGGTCTGGAGTTTGTTTTTATTTTGGTTTTGGTTTGGTTGGGTTTCTTTTTAGAGAGGTCTTTCCAAAGTAAGCTGTGTCAATCTCAGTAGATACTAAATGAAGTGGCATAGTTAGCCAGCTTTCATAGGTGTTGTAACAAATACCAATACTTGCATAATTAAACGAGCATTGACAGCCATTTTCAATTCAATGGATATTCCAGCTACTTAGACCTTGGCAGAAAGCTCTGTCAAAACAGATACAAAGAATAGTAGCTTTACACTCTTAAGGTTATCTCATGACAAATAATTGTGTAAATATCTAAATAGACATCTAAGTATGAAGACATTAGGGTCCCCACCCCTAACCCATCAAAGCGGCTTGAACTGAGAATGCACAAAGAAACTTAAAAACAAATCTAAAAAGTTTAGCGCTCATTTCAAGCAAACAGTTGGACAGTGGAAGTGTTAAATAGGACTGAGAATGGCTGTGCTTAAGGTGATAATTGCTAGACTGATTGGCTGGCCCCTGGGCAGGACTCATCGTTAACCATACAGATACCAACAGGAACTGGAATGCTCCAAGTCAGATAAGCCATTGCTTGAGTAAATCTTGAATCAGACCCCTAAGACAAAACACCCCTTGTCGATTTTAGCCCATGGACAATGTAACTTCATGTGTAAATGTTCTCTGTGCTGTTACTACGGTGTGCTAGTTTCACGGCATTAGCTTGCTAGCACCCGGTCCTGCAACAAGATTGTCATGAACTTGGAATCTCATCTCTGTGTGTGGACTGGACTTTGCCGGGAAAATAATCAGGTTTTGGGACGACAAAAGGAGGACAGCGATCACTAGTAAGTGATGATATGTTTAGGGCCATTAAGACAGCAAACTCAGCTGGTCACTTGGTGACAGTCTGGCTGCAGACTGAAACAAAGAAATCGAACTCAACAGCAAACAAGTCTCTGTTAAGCAGGTATGCTTTATTGACTGCAACACTGTGGATATCTCCACCATAAGAGCTCCAATGAGTTAGCAGAACACCCCAATTAATCAACAGCAAAAACATGCTTATTCAGTTTGATGCCAGTGAGTTCCCAGAATTATTTGACATAGTCATCTTTGTAGTTATGCATGCTCGAGGGTCTCCTTTGTTGATTCTAGTCTTTTGTCTTCTTTGTTCTGTCTCCTGTCCTGGTCCTGTCTCCCCCTGGTAGATTGCCAGGTGGGTCCAGAATCAACATGAATGTTATCTGTTGGCACCACAGCTCTTACAAGACTTGATGTTATCAAAGCCTGCAGAATGCTTGGCATAACTGGCTAACAGTTTCACAAAGCACATGATTTTAAAAGTAACCCATTCAGCTAACTTAGTAAAACAAAGTCATCATTTTAGCAAATTCCTACAACTATCAAGACAACAGCCTTTACTGTGGGGGTCTGAGGTGCAAATCCATTCCCTCATTCCCGCAGCAGTTGTTTTCCAAGTTAAGGATGCTGGAATGGATCACACATAGGTCCCTATTAAAAGCAAGCAAACAAAAAACATCTACCTCCAGTTTCACCAGTTGTTCATCAGCTTGGCAAGAAGGTCTGAAAGAGACTGAAATGGCTCTTCTGGTACTTAAAGTCAAGAAATCCAGTATGCATTCTCTTTAGAGAAAATGTATCTCTTTGGTTCCATCATCGTACCTATGTGGAGTAGAAAAAGTAGCAGAAAAAAAGGCCGACAACTACAGGATCCTCTCAAAGGCACCTGATGTCTCTGGAAGAATTTTGTATTTGCAAGTTTTCAGTACTTGAACAAAGACGTTTCTAAAGCCGTTTATACTTATTCTGGTTAAACTCTTAATTTATGCTCAAGACTGTGACCAGATGATCAGCAAAATTTTTGGTTCTTGTTCACCAGCAGAGGAAGGAATTATCAGTCAGACTTAAGGAAGTGGACTAGTTGCTCCCTAGCCAGTTAGGCCTCCCTACTATTCAAATTGTTAATGAATGAATGGCGTTAATTTTGTAGTGTATTTGTACCTGCTCAAATAGGTAAGAACCTATTAGGAATATCAGTGATTGAAGGTTATTTTCATTTTAGCACAGTCTAACACTCGTTTTTGGTGTGCGTGCACAAAGACACACCTGCTGTGTATCACAATACCCTCCAGCCAAAAATGAAGAAGGATAAGACAGTTCTCATCTTTTGCAGCAATGCAAGTTGCAGAAACGAGTTTGGCCACTTCTTTTCATAGGCATCTGTAATCTGCCAGAGGATCAATGTCTGTCTCCCCACATGCCACCTGGAATTTCCAGGTGAACAAAAAAATGATGAACCAGAATGAAGGCTGTAAAAGGAAGGTATGACTACCTTTCCTCTCAGAATTTTTTTAGCACTCCAGGAAACACCTATGCAAGCACTCACTCCATCTTCAAAGTAATATATCCTGAATGGAAGAGCATTTACAAAATAATTTTGTTTGCAGTTCCCAGAATTAGGATTTTTTCCTACATAAAGATTTTAATCTGCAATCAAAGATCTGAAGATGAGTAAGTCCACCTGCTGCTTCAAAGCCATTTGTAAGAAGGACATGCAGGATCTGTTATAATTCCACAGACTGGAAAAAAAAAAATAAACGTATTTTTAAATACTAGCAAAAAACTACGGAGCTCAGCATCTGACATGTTTGTGTAGAGGGTGACAGCCCCTCCTATTCTCCCCAACCTGTTCTTTCTGGAGAGCTTTTACCCCTCCATTTCCTATGCTCCAGTCAAAGAGTCACCCCACCGCATCCCAGTGATGCCAGTAACATCATGCACATGTCTGTAACTCCTCACGTTTGTTCCCCATGCCATGTGCATTTGTGTAGAGGCATTTAAGTTCAAAACAGTTAAAGCCACCTGAAAAGGAAAACATTTTTCATTAAATTGCCAGTATTGGAGGGAAAAAATTAATCGCAAGCTTTTTGCTTTTGTTTTGTTTTGTTGGGTTTTGTTTGGTTTTGGTTTGGTGGGGCTTGTTTGTTTGTTTTTGTTTGGTTGGGGGTTTGTCGGTTGGTTGGTTGGTTTGGTTTTTAACCCTCTACCAGCGATAGTTCAAGTGAAAATTTGCTGGTAGTTGTGAGAAACAAGTTTGCACATAGATGTACTTTCATTCGAAAAAGAAAAAAATTCATATCTTAAAGGCTTAAATTGCTTTTCTGAAGCAGCACAAAAGAGTAAAAGAACAAGGAAATTCTAGGTGTAATGCAGCATAGCTGGGGAAATCCATATTATAAGCTGAACAAAGTTTTATGGAAATAAACATTTTCTATTATGTTTACATATCCTATTCCTTCTAGCTTACAAGAATTTGTGAAGGACACTGGAAATTACAGCAAGAAAATAGTAGATGATCTTCTGGACCATATCACTAGTGGAGATCATTCCAAAACTACTTATCAGCTAAAGCAGGTGTGTACTTGTTGCACATAAATGTCCCAAGTTCATAAAATCAAGAATCAACCTGTTTGTTTTTCAGTGTTGGATGAGATGCTTTGTTATCCACTGTCAGCTTAGACAGTGCAGGCTTAGCATTTAACCATGCGGTGAACCAAATTAAAACCTGAATTAATCAGCAGAGAAGTAATATTTTTCTTTTCTCCAGATACATCAGTTCTCCAAAGTGGGTTACCATGTGACTGCAGAAAGGAGGAGGCAGGTGCAACATAGCAGGGGGAAGAAGGGACCAACCAACAGCTGAAGGATGATTGGGCAGCCGTGTCACTCAGTGTCATGACTTATGTATCTGCTGAGTTATATTGCAGAATAGTGAGAATTGGAGAATAGATTAATATTGCTGTACAGATATCTATTACTCAACAGTGGTAATTTTTAAATTCACGTAGTATGTCTGAAGGAAAAATTTGTAACTTCCAACAGCAGTTTACGTAGGAAACTTCATGCTAAGACTGGAGAAGATATTTTTCTCAAAAGTTTTTATAATTGTAGTAGTGGGAACGTTTGCATTCTCAAGAAAAAACATGCTAACAGAAACTGCAAATATTTTTTTTTCATGGTATCTTCACTCTGAAAACCACTCTCAGTTTGAGATAATTGTCTGCTGTTTAAAATAGTGACATTCTGAATGGTTCAAGGATAAAAAAGGGTGGAGGGGGAAGAGGGTGGAAGGTATTCACGATTCCTGACATGGGGGAAATGAGGTTATGCTAAATCTCTGCAGACTTATAAGTAGAATAGGATGAGTTATGTTTTGGGAAAAGGAGACTATAGAATGAAAAATACGAAGGATCCTTCAGAATTTTCTGGATACCTTTTTTTCCAGTCCATACTGGAAAAAAGAATATGAATTAAAAAGGAAGAAATATAAAAGATTGCTTACAAAAATCTTGAAAGTTCAAAACCAATATTTTTAGTATTATTCTACATCTATAAATGTGTGTACAACACATGGAGCTTAGCTTTAAAATTAACATGTGCCTTTCCCTTTTTGCTACCTTGGACTATGAGTATTGTTCCAAATGAGAATTTTTGAATACTTTTCAAATGGTCAGTGGCTAGTTGCACCTAGAAATGCTGTGCAGTTGTTACATGTGGATATCTATAGGTTTTGTGCTATAAAATGTTGTTTCATTGATGATGTGCTATGGTGCTTTCTGTATGAGTATGTGTGCTGCTACATTTGAGTAACAATTAATATATATGAAAGTGCAACCTTAAATTATTTGGAATCAGAAGTTACTCAAGTAATGACTTAAGATGCTACACTTGAATATAAAGTCTGTGGACAGAAGAAATAGTTTAAAGGGACTTAAAGATGAGCTAAAATGCATAGTACTAAAAAAATCCTAATCAGTAGCTGTTACGTTGTAATTTCATTTACAGGTATGTGAAAAAGCTGTCTCTAGCTTAATTTTGTGTGCAAAATTCAAGTCTACTTGAAATTGTACAAGAGAGAGGTCTTTCTCTTATGTTGAATAAAAGTAATTGTTAGTATTCTTTCTTTCCAGAGGCGAAATATCCCAGTAAAAATGCTGGATGAAGTTAAAGTAAGTTATGCTCATACTCAGCCTGTTGTTTGTTTTTTTACTGGAAAAAGTGTCTTGGCATTTAAAGTAGAGAAAGCTCTATTCTCTGGGCTTCCAATTTCCTGATATTAGGTTGTCCTGGTTAGTTCTATGTTATTTTTGTGAATGGTCACCCATTAGAGAAGAGCTAGTCTTAATTTTTTATGAAGGATCTATGCAAACATCATGAAATGTAATAGCATTCTGTGGTAGCCTAAGATCTAGTCATGGTAACCCAGTAAATTACACAAACTAAGATTATTATTATTGTTGCAGATGATACTGAGTAGGGTAGGAGTGTTGATCTGCTTGAGGGTAGGAAGGCTAAGCAGCAGGATCTAAACAGGCTGGATTAAGGGGCCAAGGCCAGTTGTATGCCAGGTCGTGCACTTTGGTCACAACAGCCACATGCAGTGCTACAGGCTTGGGGAAGAATTGCTGGAAAGCTGCCTGGTAGAACGAGACCTGGGGGTGCTGGCTGACTGCCAGATTAACGTGACCCAGCAGCATGTCCAGGTGGCCAAAAAGGCCAACAGCATCCTGGCTTGTATCAGAAATAGTGTGGGCAGCAAAGTGATTGTCTCCTTCTGCTCAGCACTCGTGAGGCTCCAGCTTGAGTACTGTGTTCAGTTTTGGGTCTCTCGCTATAAGAAGGAATTGGAGGTGCTGGAGTGTGTCCAAAGGACAACAAACCTGGTGAAGGGTTTAGAACACAAGTCTTACAAGGAGCAGCTGAGGGAGCTGGGGCTGTTTAGTCTGAAGAAAAGGAGGCTGAGGGGAGACTTTATCGCTCTCTATAACTACCTGAAAGGAGTTTGTAGTGAGGCTGGTTGGTCTCCCAAGTAATCTGCAATCAGACAAGAGGATATGGCCTCAAGTTGCGCCAGAGGAGGTTTAGACTGGATACTAGGAAAAACGTCTTTACTGAGAGAGTGGTCAAGCACTGGAACACACTGCCCAGGGAAGTGGTGGAGTCACCTTCCCTGGAGGTGATCGAAGTATGGGTAGATGTGGCACTTCAGGACATGGTTTAGTTTGCATGGTGGTGTTGGGTTGATGGTTGGACTTAGATCTTAGAGGTCTTTTCCAACCTTTATGATTCTGTGATTCTATGATTATTCTTAGGGAACATAAGCTGCAAAATGCTAAAATCTAAAATATGGTTTGGTTCTTTAGGTTGTGCCAGTTGTCATAAAAGAAGAACACAAGTTGCATAATACCTGTCTGGATTCTTCCAAACAGATTATGGTAAAAAGATTTGTTTGTAAGAAAAAAATAAAAAAGACTATTGAGACATTAATTTTGTTTCAGTAGATAGATATGCATGCTCTGAGGCAGAGGGTAAAAATTACAGCATCTAGAATAAGCTTTCAGTACTTAAACTGGTGTGTCTGTCACAGTCTGTTTTGGTTAGTGACTCTGTTTGTCCTGTTGTTCTGTATTCTAACCACTGTTAGAAAGTAGGGGTAACTAATGCATATCTTTTGCATTCACAGCTGCTAATCAAATCTTTAGGTGGTACAGGTTTTATCTTGCAAAGTATTTGTGACACCAGAAGATAATGCACTGCATTCCATTGCATTTTATGTAAAAATTGTATGAATTACATTATAGCAATTAATATGGGTTATTTAGAAAACTATACGTTTTATGTTTTGTGGAAAGATTTGTATTTCTGTAGAAGGTGACTGGTTAATGCATGATAGTGATACGTTTCATTTTCATATTTCTGGAAGATAATATCTGCTTGCTTATTTATCTGCATGTATTACTCTTGCTGAAATAGGCAACAAAATAGAATTCTGTTAGAATTTTTTTTTTAAGATAAATGACTTTTACTTTGATCTCTTACTTTTCACCATTACATAGCAGTATTGCAAAAGGTATGAAAACAATGAAATTGTTGTAGTGCAGGCTGTATTTCATTATCTATACGTATAGAAAAATACTTGAGAGACCAGCTCTATCTGATACTGTATATGGGGAGGCCCACCCTATTGGTTTTATTAGTCACATATTAAAAATTTTAATAAATCCAGTGTTGCATTGAGGAGGTGAGGGAAAAGGTCATCTGGGAGTGCTTTGTTATGGAGGATACTGATGATGCTTTGCCATCTGCCACAGTTCTGCCATGGGACAGGGATGAGTTGAGCATGTAATTGAGTTGCAGAGGGTTTGGTAATGTTGGTTTCAACAGTCTGGGATGATGAGAAGCAAGATACTTAGACTACCCTGCAAATCCCTTGCCATTCGTATGACTGGACTGTCCTGGAACCATGTTTGAGCTGCCTGTGAGTTGCAGGTTAGCCAAGATAGTTATGGATGCTCCAGTCTTAGGTGCTGTGGTGCACACTTTCAAGAGTATGGATTCATGCATTTACCTTAAATGTTTAAAAGTTGCTATGACAAGCTTGTCACTATTGCTAGACTTTGTTTCTTGTGTTTTAATAGGTTGGAGAATCTGCTGGAGACAGTAGCACTTCTGACTTGGACTTTCTCTCTATGAAATCATATTCAGATGTATCTCTTGATATTTCTATGTTAACTTCGCTAGGTAAGTAATTAAATGTAAAAGCCATCCATTACTGTTTATTTGTACCATTTAGGCAAAATAAAAGCTGGATTTGCTAAGAATAAAAAAGTTTTCAAAAAGTAGTAATAAATCTAGATTTGATATAGGTAGAAGTCTAGGGCTGGTAGAAGATAAATGAAACATTGCTCTGTTTTTCCTTTGAGACACCCATGTGCTAGCCAAGCTAACTTTTCTTATACCACTGAAGAAACTAAAGTATTTGTACCTCACAATTTTGATAGCTTTCCTTTTTTTCATGTGGTCACAGTAACACAGGTTTTAAGAATCAGCATGGAGCTTTGGCTCAGAGATATTATTGCTTCATATGTTGTCTTTTGAAATAACTTGGGAAGTAGGTAAGTATGTGAAGCTAAGTCATATCACCGCTTGGCTTGTTCCAGAAAATCAGAAGAAACTTCAGGTGTTGCAAAGAATTTTTAGAGTCAAATAAGGCAAATAAGGTATCAGGGTGTTGTTTCAAGTACACGTCTTTGATAAGTATCCTTCTTTATATACTACAAGAAGTAACGTTCCCATTTCTGCAGGCTGCTCAAATGTCAAAAATATCAAAAATATCATCACCAAAAAGAAAAAAAATACTGCTTTGTGATTTAATTTAGAATGTGACAGGTGCCAAACAATCTGTTATAGAATATAACCTAGGTAAATGAAAGCTTAAAGAAAAAAAAAAATTATACAGGTTTGTCCTACAGATGTAGTATTCTTTGAAAGTCTTCAGAGGAAAGAACAGCGAATGTTGGCACATACTTCCTGTTCTTTCCAGTTTTACAGTTTTATTTGGCTTACTATAAAATCAGCGTAGCTGGAGAAGATAACTGTTCGGGATTTCTTCACCTCCATAAATTACATATTCTGTTTGAACTGTGTTTTAAGTTAGGTATTTAGTCCTGGCTTCCTTTCCTTTTGCTGCAAAATAAATGCATTATTTCATGTCTGAAGTTTAACAGATGAGGAAGACAATTTAAGTTCAGATCTGCAGCTATTGCCTTTCAGAAGTGCAAAGGAAAATGTAAGGCTGAGATCTTTTGTGTAGTAGACAGCACTTGTGTGAATTTATTTTAGAATTTTTTTTATAGTGGCTTGATAATTCATGAATCAATCTGCTAATTGCTAATTATGGGGTTTGGTTGCTAACTGGTGGCCCTTAGGGAAAGTGAAGAAGGAGCTTGATCATGATGATAACAGTTTACATCTGGATGAAACAACTAAGCTGCTGCAGGACCTTCATGAAGCTCAGGCTGACAGAGTGGGATCCCGGCCATCATCCAACCTGAGTTCCCTCTCCAATACCTCTGAAAGAGACCAACATCATCTTGGTAAAGCTACCTATGTCACTGAAGTTGCAGTACTGCTGCTCTAATTGAAAACAGTTAAAACTTAGTTTTTAATTTACATAAATCTTTGCATGAAACTGGTCTTATAAAACAGTGTACTGACTACAGGATCATGATTTAATTTTCAAATATGCATAGGAAAGAAGGTAACTAAGATGATACACTTTTGGCCTGTGGGATTATGGACACTAATTATAGATATTTTTTTATTAGACATAATTGGAAGTAATTGTGAAGTAAATTGATACTGACTGGCACTGACTGTATGCACTTGCATTTTATGCCCTTAGAAATACTAGGGAGCATACAATATTTATTTTACTTTGCCATAGTTGCATGCAGCAAGTCGCAGGTGGGATTCTACAACAGCCATTGTCAGCTGTAAATTCAGTGATAAGACAGGATGATAGGTTAACATAACACTTAGCAGTTTGGTGCCGTGTCTGAGAAGGTAGGAGATGTTGGTTGGATGATACTCAGTTACAGTTTATATAACTTTTCAACTCGGAGTAATAGAATAATTAGTTGCTTTTTCAAAAAGGATCTAAATTAGTGAAGAATCTTGTTATTTCTTTTTTTACATATCCTGATTAAATAGCTTGTAAACATCTGTATTGCTTTAAAAGTCTGGTACATAGGTATCTCTCCATTATTTTGCTATGCTTTTAAAGGCTTTGATTTTTTAATTTTTTTTTTCCATGTTCTACAGGAAGCCCTTCTCATCTAAGTGTTGGAGAACAACAAGACATGGCTCACGATCCCTATGAATTTCTTCAGTCTCCGGAAACCTCAAATGCCACTACTAACTAATCTGTATATGTTTTGTATTTAAATTGTAATATGTTTTTCTAAAGTTTTTGTCCATGGCAGAAACCTGAGTTTTGCCCCCTTTTCTGTGAGGTTGCCTATCTATTATTATCACATATGCTGGATTAAACAAAAGCAAAATACCTAGTTAGTGCATCGTTTTGTTAGCAATGTACCAAAACCTGCTCCTGATTTGTTTATTGAGGGAGGTTGCTGTATACTGGTCTCTAAATCTTGAGTGAAAAGCAACAAATTGTGTGTTAAAAACCCCTGTTATTTTATAGAAACTAAACCTGATAATTTTTCCGGTGTCACGGCAGCAGTCATGAAATGTTTCTAGTAAAATTATCTACCAAACATCTTCATGGAGGAATATTTCATTTCAGCACTGACAAGAGTTGCATGAATTGTAATCATTATTATGTTTCCCATCTCCTAACCCTAATTATCTGTAGGAGTTAAATCCTAAATCCATATTGTTAAATCTTTTTTTTAATCACTCTAGAGAATACTTACTTTGAGAGTAATGATATTCTGTAGTTGCACTGAAGTGCTCATTGCAAGAATTCTACCCTGGATCTAAAAAAGATTAATGTTTTTGTGATCCCTTGTGTCATGAAACACAAACAAAATATAATTCTGATTATTTTAAATTTGGCATATATATTTACTTGGGTTGGAAAAATACTGGATAAGGTGTGCTTTTCAGGAATTTTATAGTAAAACTTCTATAATTTAGTACTGATGTAATGGAGGGGTTTTGTACCATTGGTATGTGCAAGCTAGACAAATGTCATGAATTTTACAGTATTTTGTAAATACTAATAAAAATACAAAAGCACTTTTGATGTTTGCAAATATCTTGTTCTTGCTTCCTTATGGACACTCATTTCAGACACAAAGTCTGAAATACTAGAATTTTTTCGTCTGAATTTTTGTGCTGCTTCAAAAGATAAACTTTATCATGCCATATGTAGCTGTAAACAAATTCAACTAAATTTCTAGGAAGCAACACAGAAGTCTGTCAGATAACTGCTATCAGGATCTTAATAAAGTCTAAATAGAGTGATCTGTTTGTACAAACTAGGTATTTGTGGTCTGGGCTGTTTCCTCTGCCTTCCCCCTCTGAGATGCCTGTTCTTGGCCCCTCCGATGTATCACAGAATGGTAGAGGTTAGAAGGGACCTTTGGAGATCATGTAGTCCAAGCACCCTGCTAAAGCAGGTTCACTTAGAGCAGGATCATGTCCAGGTGAATTTTGAATGTCTCCAGAGAAGGAGACTTCACAGTCTCCCTGGGCAGCTTGTTCCTGTGCTCTGTCACCCTCAGTAAAGAAGTTTTTCTTCATGTTTAGATGGAACACTTCCTGTGTTCCAGTTTGTGCCCATTGTTCCTTGTCCTGTCACTGGGCATCACTGGAAAAGTCTGGCCTCATCATTCTGACACTTGCCCTGTAGATAATCATAAGTACTACTTGCAGAATCACACAGAATCTCAGAATTAAACAGAATCATCATAGTTGGAAAACACCTCTAAGATCACCGAGTCCAACCATCCAGCCACGGGATGGAAAAAAGAAAAAAACCCAAACAACCAAACACCCCACAAAGCCAACAACATAAGATCCTTTCTGTCTTCTCCACGCTAAACAGGCCCAGCCTTTCCTTACAAGAGAGATGCTCCCGTCCCCTTGTTTTCTTTGTAGCCCTCCGTTGGACTCTTTCCAATAGTTCCTAGTCCTTCTTGAACTGAGACCAGAGCTGGACACAGTACTTGAGATGTGACCTACCCAGAGCAGAGTAGAGGGGGAGGATAACCCCCCTCGACCTGCTGGCCACCCTCGTAATGCATCCCAGGATGCCATTGACTTTCTTGGCACACTGTGGGCCTGTAGTCATCCTGTTGTCCACCAGGACTCCCAGGTCCTTCTCCCCCAGAGCTGCTTTCCAGCAGGAGAACCTCTAACCTGTACTGGTGCCTGGCATTATTCCTACCCAGGTGCCGGACCCTACACTTGCCCTTGATTAACTTCATTAGGTTCCTCTCTGCCCAGCACTCTGGATGGCAGCACAGGCTTCTGGTCTATCAACCACTCCTCCCAGCTGGGTGTCACCAGCAAACCTGCTGAGGATACACACTCATCCTTCATCCAGGTCACCGATGAGTATGTCGAACAGGATAGGACCCAGTACTGACTCCTGAGCGACACCACTAGTTAAAGCCCTCCAAATAGACTCCGTGCCACAGATCACAGCTCTCTGAGCTCTGCCTTCCAGCCAGTCCTCAGTCCACCTATCTAACCCATGCTTCTTAAGTTTCCCTATGAGGATTCTATGGGAGACTGTGTCAAAAGCCTTGCTGAAGTCAAGGTAGACAACATCCACTGCTCTCCCCTCATCTACACAGCTGCTCATGCCATCACAGAAGGCTACCAGATCGACCAAGCTTGGTGAATCCATGCTGACTACTCCTCATAACCTTCTTTTCCTCTACATGTTTGGAGATGATGCCCAGAATTAGTCCATGACTCTACCAGGGATGGAGATGAGGCTTGCTGCCTGTCATTTCCTGGGTCTTCCTTCTTGCCCTTTTTGAAGACTGGAGTGACACTGGCTTTCCTCCAGTCTTCAGGCACCCCATCTGATCTCCAGGACCTTTCAAAGATGCTGGAGAGTGGCCCAGCAATGACTTCTGCCAGCTCCTTCAGCAGTTGCAGGTGTATCCCATCCAGATCCATGGACTTGCCAATCCAGTTTACTTAACTGATCTCTAACTTGATCCTTTTCAGTCAAGGGAAAGTCTTGCTGATATACGTAATAAAATCACTGTCACATGTGTAAACATATCCCACCACTTCAGCCTCTGGATAGCTGAATATATCTAATAAAGTATTACAGTTTTGTTAGATTTTTCATACAAAATAAGAAAGTGTTTCAACTTTTTATTAGAAACCATCTTGAGGACAATTCTTATTAAGTCTGATGATTAATAGATTTACAGAGACTCTCATTTATACCAATTCTACACAGTTTGTATAAGAGATTAAAATTAATGTCTGTTTTCTTGTATAGGGTTTCTTTTACCTGTGAAAAAGAACACTGTAGGAGTGTCCAAAGCCAGGGAAACAATTCCTGCAGGCAAAAGCAGTATCTGAACTGGGTAACTGGGTTCAGTGTTTTCTGTATAAGCCCAAATCCTTTCTATGACAGCACAATGTGAACTGAGCATAGCTTGAATGGACAGCTTAAAGGACAGGATCCTGATCTGTTGCATGACCAGCACTAAAATATTTGGTGTAATAGCAGCATCACTACTTATTTTTAAAAAGCAATTACTGAATTGACCTGCAGTCCATGAAGGATGATAGTGTATCTCTCTGCAGAGCTCCATTCTAGCCTGTGGGCTCCCAGTGCAGATCAAGACCTTGCATTTCCCCTTGTTGAACCTCATGTGGTTCCACTCTGCCCAGTTATCCCTTCTGTCAAGGTCACTCTGAATGGCAGCATGTCCATCTGGTCTATCACTTACTCCTCACAGTTTTGTAACATTGGTCTCTGGCTTTCCTAACCCCATCCCTGCATGATCAGCCAGCATCTCTATGCTTCTCCTGGGTCATTTGCCCCTACTTCCACCTCCTGTATATTTCTGTTTTTTCTGAATGCTTTCAGGAGCTCCTTGCTCAGCCATGCAGGCCTTCTACTACCTTTACTTGATGTTGTACTTGTCAGGATGGGCCATTCTTGACTTTGGAGGAAGTGATCGTTGAATATCAGCCAGCAATCCTGAATCTCCCTCCTCCCTTTTCTCTAGGGATTCTTTCAAGGTGATCTCTGAAGAGGCCTGTTCTCCTGAAATCCAGGCCTGTTGGTCCTGCCTTTTGCCCTGCTACCTCCTCTTAGTGTCCTGAACTCCACCATCTCATGTTCATGGCAGCCAAACTGACTCCACCTTACAAATGAGGAAGAACTGGTTGGGGGTGTGGAAGTAACAGGTCCAGCAAAGCACCTTTGCTTGTTAGCCTCTTCAACACCTGTGCTAGGAAGCTGTTGTCAGAACACTGCAGGAATCTTTTAGGTTGCTTGTGCCCTGCTGCATCGCTCTTCTAGTGCACTATAAGTGATGAAAATAAACAGAGAGCATCTTTCTGATAATTTGCAATGTTTTAATTTTCAGATTAAAAAATATTCCTTCTCATCACAAAGCCTACTGAAAGATACCCTTTGAACATACAAATGTATTATTTTTTGCTGTTCAGCTACCATAAATAATACCTTTGCAATAAGTGTGATACACAAGAATGTATTAAACAAGTGCATCCCTCCTGCAGTACTTGCTACTCCATCTCCTATTGCCTAGTCCAAAGATGTAACTGTGACAGCTTCTTCTTTTGAGACCGCAATAAAAAACTTGAACTACAAGTTAAATTCCAAAGAAAATAATGTTACACACACTAAGGACTCATGTCAACATAGATATTCAAGCTTGGTAATGTTCTTAATGAAGTGAGTAAAATGGTGGCTCTGAGGACAGAAAGGTCTTCCTTCAGCAGAAAGCCACCAGACAGGTTCATCTTGTTTCTTTGGCAGTGAAACTGCCATTTTAGCCTAACTTTTTGTCCTGGTTTACTGGTCAGGGTGAACCAAAGACCAGAGAGCAGAACTGCTGTCGGTTACACCCCTCCAGCCTCCCAGGGGAAGATACAGGGGGAATAACAAAGAGAGACTGAAAGGTTGGAAGTTAAAACTAGAACAGGTTTACTGGAACAGGGAAGGGACACTAACATGTGGGATGAGAAAGAAATACATACAAATATATACAAAACCTGATCTCAATGGTCTGTGTCTGAAGTGTCTAAAGGTCCCCTGCAGCAGGGCTGACTCTGCAAAGGGGTCCATGGCTCTTCCCAGCACCTGATGGATTCAGATCCTTCAGAGAATGTGGCAAGCTGATTAAAAATAGAAGCAAGGGCCTCTCTCCAAGACCTCCAGGTGCTGCAAAGCAGC